AGCACTAGCTAAATCCATTACAGCATGAGGAGAATTCACTGATAGTTTCCCCCACACATGCAGCTCTGCCAGTGCAGAGTACAATGTGTCATACAACACCCCCTGCTATTCCAGACTTGGGATCCCACAGCCAACTCTGCCAGCGCATCTCAGGCCAGTCACGAAAAACTGTTATTCTAAAGATGGGGACCTCTCAAGCAGAGGCTGAAGATTACAGCTGACTAAAGGAGTTATTCCCTTTTAACATTATTCATTGATTGCACCCCTGCATCAAATAAGTTACTTAATTATCTTTTATCCAGCCTGGGGAGCTCGCTGAATAATATAAACACATTATCTGCTGAATAATGTGAGCTACCAAAAAAAACTGTCAAAATTTCAAACCAGCTCTATTGCTTATCTTGCCAAACCATGCAGTGCTTATTTGTCTTGTCAAATATGCCCTAAGGACAAGGACAACACCACACTTGTGATTTCATTTAGTATTTGAGTCTGCCCCTTTTGCCACCCTCCCCTCCCCCCCACACACACAAAAAAAGAAAAGATAAAAGGGCACCATTGCTTGATTTTCACCACAGTTTAACGAAAAGGTGCAGGGAAGGTCCTCAGGTGGTCTGAGCATGCCCCTAAAGTCTGGGAAGGCAAAAGCATACTACAGGCTTCCAAGAACTGTGCTAGCAAGCTTTGAAACCCAGTGACAAGTTACCATTCACTACCGCAAGTAGTGAAGTCTGACCCAATTTGGCTCAAGTATCAAACAACCTTCTGCCAGAAGCTTTCATCCCTTTTCAAATTAACTGTGCTATGCAATATTTTCCTAAGTAATGCTTCCTTTATTATAATATGCACCTATGAAGTTTTACTACCTAAAATGCTGTGTGAAAGTTTTATTTTTTAAAAATAAAACAGGATTTTTTTCCTCCTGTTCTACTCCTGTTTAATCTGTTCCATTTCCTCACTATCACCTGTTTATTTTCATTCCCTCCCTCCCCCCACCAAAAGACACTTTCAATGGAGAAAGACAGTGAAGTGCATCTATCATTTCCCTTACCTTTCCTTATTGCTACTCACCTACAGGCTCCTTCCTTACCCTTTTCTGCCACTATCTTATGATGAACTCTCTGATTTGCCTTATGTGCCCACTCAGCTGGTAGTTTAAATCCATTTCACATTAAAGTCAAAGGAAAGACTCCATTGGTCTTCAGTGGGAGCTGGATCAAGCTCCAAGTACCAACCTTGGGGCTCTCTAGCTAATGGGAATCTTCAGCCATGGTGCTGGTCCCATTCTCAATACTTGAGGCAGGAGAAGAGACACCTCCCATCCCTTCCCCGCACATACTCTTTTTTAAATAATATTTTTGACATGCATGATTTCTCTAACTCCAAGCTGGATCACAGTTTAATTCTAAACAGCAGCTCTCTAGAATTTGCTTACAAAATAGCCTTTCCAAAAAACAGTGCAGTATTACTGAACAGATTGACTGCAAGGAAGAGACTGGGATAGGTAGAAAAGGAAAAATCTCTTGCACCAGTACAGCTTTCTTTAACACTATTAGAGATCAGCTTCACCTGATTTCACTGTTAATGGTTTGACAATTTTGGGAAGAGTTGCAAAACAAAGATTGAACAGCCATGGCAGCATTAATAAGTGCAGCCATCTCATCCTTCATTTCAACTTATTCCACTTGTTTTATTTGTAAGTACCACAGAAAACACACAAGCAGTGGTACTGCCTTCTAGTTAATGCCCCATCCCACTTCCATGGGAGTTGGGTGCAAAATTCCCCATCAGTCCCAATGGGAGCAAGATCAGGCCTGAAGGAAAACCTCACTTATTAATTTATAGTTCTCCTTCCCCCAATGTTTCAGAGTCAGATTCAGGCTACTTACCAACCAGTTTGGTAAGCTCTTCAGGGCAGGAACTGTCCTTTGTGATGTGTTTAAGTGCCCAGCACAACAGGACCCAGCCAGGCTGTGTCCTATAAGTAGTATCCCAATATCTATGGGAAATAATTATTAACACAGCTGCATTTTTAAGGGAAGAGTCTTTTAGTGTTAGCTTCCAGTGCCTACTATTTCAGGAGCTTAAAAACTTACATTGCTAGTATGGCTCTAAATAATAAAATCTTATACTGGTAACAGATCTTTTCAGGGCAGGCCATAGGCTGGCGTGAAGCATGTCGCTGCAAAGGGTCCCACACCTCTGGGGTTATGATTGTCAGCTTCCTTCCAAATCCCTGTGCAAGGGGCATTAGTCCAACCAACTAGCTGCCTCACCCTCTCACTTCTCCTCATATGCGGTCTGAATTTTTAATTTGCACCTGGCATCACAAAGCCTACACCCATCCCAGCTGTGGATGAAAGGGTGGAGTGCAGAATATAACTGCTGTCCTCTCCTCCTTCCCATAAGATTGCCTATGCCCTTACCACAAGTGCACCTGCATTAATGGGAGTGCTAGTTCAGGCTGGTCTCCAGCATTTTAACCACATTGTGCAATCTTTCTCAGAGCAAGTCTAGACTGTATTTACTTATATGCCAGCAGCAGTGTCTGTATTAGCATTCCCACTAGTGGAACTATTAAGGAGTTAACAAGCACAAGCTCTGGGGAGATTCTGTGCTGAGCCTCATAGGGTTCTATACACTGCAATCAGAAGTTGACTGCAGCCTGGGTAGACATACCCAAGTAACAGCAACAGTGAAGCCACAGCAGAGGAGCTGTGCAAGCCCACCCAGGACCCTGGTTATGTACTCAAGTGGCTAGCTTGTGCTGCCACAGCTTCATGCAATTGTTATTTGGGCTACTGAGCTAGCTCGGTATGTCTGCATGAGTTGTCGCACCTCTCAGAGGCAGAGCCTGTATTTTCTTTTGATGCTTGTAAGAGTAGGTGGACTATCTAGACTCACATGTTCTATTTGCTTATTTATCTGAAGAATATTTATTTTGGTCAGGGTAGTGCAGGAATCATCAAAATAAAGTGAACAGGAGCAGTGCCCATCTAGAATAGAATGTCACCCACTGCACATATTCCTAATACATCTCTTACCATGGTACTGGGGAGCACTTTGCATAAATTAGCGCTACATCAATTTGCCATGGAGGGAGCAACATTCTTTTTGACTCCCTCTGCTGTAGCCACTTTACTTGACTAGGGTACAGAGCCAGGTGTTGGTCAACCAGTGGAGCACTGAAGGGGCACTTCTCTATAGCAGTGGTTCTCAACCAGGGGTACATGTACCCTGGGGGGTATGCAGAGGTCTTCTGAGGCACACCAACTCCTCTAGATAGTTACCTAGTTTTACAACAGGCTACAAAAAGCATTAGTGAAGTCACTACAAACTAAAATTTCAGACAATGACTTGTTTATACTGCTCTATATACACACACACACACACACACTGAAAAGTATAGTATTTATATTCCAATTGATCTATTTTATTATGGTAAAAAAGTGAGAAAGTAAGCAATTTTTCAATAAGTGTGTTGTGATACTTTTGCATTTTTATGTCTGATTTTGTAAGGAAGTAGTTTTTAAGTGAGGTGAAACCTGGGGTTACGCAAGACAAATCAGACTCCCGATAGGAGTACAGTAGTCTGGAAAGGTTGAGAACCACTGCTCTACAGTACAGCTGAAGTGAACTAGGCAAAGAAAAGGAAATACAGAGTAGACCTTATTTGAAGTACTAAGGCAGCTAACTTAGAGAACGTCTCTTATTAGTAATGCCAAAATTAATTTGATTCAGAGAAAGATTAAATCAAATTTTAAAAAGTTTAGCGATTCTAAACTCTACCTGGTCTTCTTAAAAATAATGTTTCTGGAATAGGTTTCACATTTATACTTAATGAACAGTTTGGTTCTCCTGGTAATAGTAGTTAAACAATTCCCCATATTTCCTTCCAATCAAACCAGTGTAGCACTATGGTAGCATGTGAGAACCAGAAAGTGAACAGAATATATAGTGAGATGAGCATGTAAACTTAGTATATTCAACATTAAAATGATTTCAACATTTCAAAATGTAAGTAACACCAAGAAAGAGATGCTTTTAAAAGTAACTTATCCTGTCTCTTTGGATCAGTCAATCAAGGAGTTAAAATCCCATGCCTCAAAACTGATCAGAATAATCATTTGTTTCCCTAGAACCTTGTGGGATGAATTTAATCTGGTCCTCGAGCTCCTGCCAGGGAGTGGGATCCAGGGCTTGTCCCACTCCGGTGCTCCAATTGGGAAGCAGGGCTGAGGGCTTACCCCACTCTGTGCGGCTCCCAGAAGCAGTGGCATGTCCCCCCTTCAGCTCCTACACCTAGGGGCAGCTAATGGGCTCCACGCGCTGCCCCCACAGCTCCCATTGGCCGGGAATCATGGCCAATGGGAGCTGCAGGCGTGGTGCCTGCGGAGAGGGCAGCATGCAGAACTGCTTGGCTGTGCCTCCACGTAGGAGACAGAGGGGGGACATGCTGCTGCTTTTGGGAGTTGCTTGAGGTAAGCGCCGCCCTGCACCCTTCCCGTGCCCCAACCCCCTGCCCCAGCTCTGATCCCCCTCCTGCCCTCCGAACCCCTCAGTCCCAGCCCAGAGCCCCTTCCCGCACCCTGAACTCATTTCTGGCCCCAATCCAGAGCTTGCACCCCCAGCTGGAGCCCTCACCCCCTCCTGCACCCCAACCCCCAGTTTCATGAGCATTCATGGCCCCCCATGCAATTTCCGTATTCAGATGTGGCCCAAGGGCCACAAAGTTTGCCCACCCCGCTATAGAGGTAATATGATATTTTCTGTCTTATCTACCCCTTTCTTAATGATTCCCAACATTGTTAGCTTTTTTAACTGCCACTGCACATTGAATGGCAACCAAGCCAAACCAAACAAAGACTGGGCTTCGCTATCTCCCTGCACATTTAACTCCTCACCAGGAAGGTGCCCTGGTCTCTGGCAACTCTGCAAGTCAACTTTTGCAAGTCAGTTTAGTCCTTTGGTCAGGGACTGCATGCTGTTTCTTCTCCTACCATTGGAGAAGTCAAGTCCTTTCTTAGAGCCTTGGACTCAACGCAGGGCTTTGGAGCTGTACTCCGGCTCCGCTCCAGCTCTAGGCAAAAACCTGTAGCTCCACTGCTCCGGAGCTGCGCTGCACTCCAGCTCCGGCCTCCGCTCCAAAGCCCTGTAAATTAGAATCTAATAAATTGTTTTATAAATAGTTATTGGAAAATAGCTCCTCAATGATTAATTCCTAATTTAAAAAGTCATAGAAATACTTTTCTCCTACAAGTTACCATTTATGCTCAAAGCACAGAAATACCATACTGCTGTCAGAAAGGAATTCCGCACCACTGCGCAAGGGCAGAATTAATGTCCCCCGCAGATTTTTTTTCCTCCTGCATAAAATTGATTCTGAGACAGAGGTGAAGGGAAGCTGCAATTAGCCCTTGGTGGGCGAAAGGTGTGATATGGCACCAGAAGAGAGGGCGGCTGGCTCATGGACCGGAGCAGCCAGCCATGGAGAGGGAGGAGACAGAGACTGCATTCCTCAGAGTGCCCCGCTCATGGGGATATGTGCGGATGTGCCTGACTGAATGGGAGAGGCTAGGGGACTGAATGGGAGAGGCTCCCCAATTCCTTAACAATCCCCCCCCCCCCCTCCCAAAACACAGTTCCATATTTCTCCCACCCACACCCAACAACCCATCAGGTCCACGCCCAGGCTCCTTCCCAGCAATTACTTCCCTCTCTCTCAGCTCCATCACCTCTGACTCCCCCAATCCTTTGCACCGTTGCTGAGGGGTGTGGGAAATACATTTTTCTATTGTAATTTAAATCAATTATTCAAAGTTCCGTATTGATATGCCTAGTCAGGAATCTGTCAAAAAAAATTCCTGAATGTTTTTAACTGTACGGTCACAGATATACTTGCTGACAGGTATGTGGAAATCAGTTACCAAAATAGTTGAAACTGGTGTGATTATATTGTGGTTTTTGACAAATAAAATGTGTAGAATTTTAAAATATTGCGCACTGAGTTTTGGTGCAGAATTCCCCCAGGAGTTTTATATTCAGCTTTCTACCAGAGGTATGTACATGAGTTTTACATGTGTGCATTGAGTCTACACAAAATGGAACAAATATCCTACCAGTTAAGTTAAAACTGGTTATCAATTTGCATTACCATTGGCTGAAGTAAAGGACAAACATTTATAACTTGGAACATACATGAGGAGTGTCCACACCAGGCTTCACAAATGAACCAAGTATCTCAAGTTCACTGACAGTCGTTAACTAGAGGTTAAAAATAAAAGGCTAGCAAAGAAAAGTGCAAAAAAAAAAAAAGGGGGGGGGGGAAGTAGCCCAGGCTGAAGTTGGAGGGACAGTATGAGAGCAGTTATGCAGAGCTGTGAAGGGCCTTGAATGCAGCACCTGATCTGACAGAAAATGGGAAGCTAACGGATAAACTCCAAGGACTTGCCTTCACTCTGCTTGGTGATTACAACTGAACTTGAGGTACTAAAGTGTATCTTCCCTGCCAGAGAGAGCCCAGGTGAGCAGTACCCGAGTTATCCTAGCCTGGATATGAGCAGCAACATTGCAAAGCCCTTACATGAGTTACTGCATCCTCACCGGTGCTGCACTTGTGTGTGTTCCTAGCATTTCTGGGGACACATCCCATGGGTCTTTGTGCTGCAATAAATTGAGCCACTCTGATTCTTGCCCGGTGAACTGGGAGAACTAGTCTGACCTTATGGTCCCATGGGGGAATTGTGGGAAAGCATTGGAGGACTATCAGCACTGAAGTGATTTAGCCTGTGTCCTCACTGCAAAGTGGCCAAGTTACTAGCCCGAGTAGAATGGCACCGGGGCTCTAACCCATACCTCCAGACAGGCCAGCTAGCCTAGTTGAAAGCACCACTAAACTTGGGTGAGAGGGCTGTGTGTGTGGATGGGAGGGTAGTTGAGGTAACATCTAGGTAAGAGCCCAGGTGAACTCTGCAGTGAAGACATACCCTTACAAAAAGCTAGAGAGGCAATCCCCATGTTTATTCCAGGTTACAAGCATTTGTTCTTTACCCTAGGGATCAGCCTATTTGAGCTATTCCCATTAGTTATACAAGAGTAAGCACCTCTATACAGGTATAATTATATACCAGGGGCAAGCAGCAATGATAGAGCAGTACAAAAAACTGTGTTTAGATAATGCTCAGTGAAAGGATAAGGGTCTAGACACAAATTTTAGCTGTACGGAAAAAAATTATACCAAGGAAATCGAATACTTTTGTTATAGTTGATTAATTTAGGCATACCTTATGCTGTCTGCTATTTTACATCAGTTAATACAGCACCCCTAAGAATACCTTAAATCATTAGCAACTTTACAGGACATTTTTTCTTTTAGTGTATACTTAATCATCTTTAATGTATTCTCCCACTATGGTCATTTGTCAAAACCACAAGCGATATTTTTCTTAAGAAAATAAACTTTTTTCAAATGACTCCAGTACTGTTTAAAGTTAAAGGGTAACAAATACATCAGCCAGAGTTTAAAGTAAAATTAAAGCAAGTTCTTTAATGTGAGAATCAGACCATAATTCAATTCCAAAATAGATATGAACTGCCCAATTTAGTACCCTGTCTAGCGAACTAGAAGTTGTAAATTTTGTTTAGGTAAGATGGGAGGGAATAAGGACCCACCTACAATACAACCATTTTACGAGACCAATGGCCCCAGTAACATGCTACCAAATCATGCTGCACCCTTGTCAAGTCTCAGGCTGTAGCATGATCAATAGAGAGTTTGGTCTTGTCCACACAACCAAAATCAGTCTGTGTTTTAGCAATGTTGGGGACCCTACCCCAATTAACTGAGTCACCCACGGTAGTTGTTGTAGTGAAGGCCCTGGATTAGTGCTCATGTATAACTGCTTTTATATATAATTCTAAATTAAAAATATAAATATAAAGAAATATAATTCCATATGGTAAAATCCTGACCCTAGTGAAGTCGTTAGCAGATTTGCCATTCAGAGGGGCCAGAATATCACCCATGGTACATACATCCAGCAAGGCACCACCTATTCCATTGCCAAGTTCCACATCATCATTTTGTAGAATTATCCTGACTTAAACCAATGATCAGGTATTTAAATGGGCACAGTCCAGAGACTTGATAAGTTGTAACACAGGAGAGAGTTCCAGTAAGACTTGCAGCTTCTTAAACAATTAAGTAATATACACCTCTACCTCGATATAACGCTGTCCTAGGGAGCCAAAAAAAAAAATCTTACCGCGTTATAGGTGAAATTGTGTTATATCGAACTTGCTTTGATCCGCCCGAGTGCGCAGCCCCCCCCCCCCACCTCCTCCCGGAGCACTGCTTTACCGTGTTATATCCGAATTAGTGTTATATCGGGGTAGAGGTGTATGTTGAGTATCATCTGATCATCAGCCCTTCCCAAATGCTTAACATAGGAAATAATCCACCAGCTATGTAGTGAGGAAGAGAATATATATATTCTGGTAAAATTCTACAATTTCAAAAAAAGTATCTGGTGTCCTCTTTTTGTATTTGCCAGTTTTATTGCCAAACTAATACTTCCTTTAGCTGGTTACCTTGTGTCTTATTGATAATTTTAATGGTAACTAAGTGAGAATTCTCCCAGCACCCAATATTTTAAGCTGCTCATTCACATTAAAAAAAAAAGGTTTAACAAAAAATTTCAGTCTTAAAACAATCTAGTAGTTCCAGCCCACCCACACAAAAACACTTCAGTAAAACTGTCTCGTAATTCTTCAGTGAAGAACTCTAAATAGCATAGTCTGTTCTGAAAAGACTAATACATGTGCAGTTTTTTAATTTTACAATTCTATTCAGTATTAATTGAAATTGGAGAGAATGATCTAATCCCAACAGGATAGGTAACACAGCCAAATCTGCCAGAACAACTGATATCAAGGAATGGATTGGTAGACATACCAGTTGTGCCTCTGACAAAAACAAAGAAAACAGGGACTTTAAAACAATCATGTCTAAGCTATGGTTTGTGGAACTTTCAAGTCCCTGAGAGTTTCATGTTCAAGCTCGTACAACATGGGAAAGAAGAACCCACAAGGACAGAACAACTGGAAACACCAACAAGAAACCACGTATAGCTTCAAGAGCTGTTCCATGAGACAAAAGAACAAGACCCTTAAATAGAAAGGAACCCAGAGACAAATTTTGATAAGTTTCCCTAGTGAAAAAAGGCCAGGAAGATCAGTACACCCACAGCCTATTCTGCTGGAGGAAACTATATGCCTTCCTTAAGCTAGTGTTCAGAGGATCATCTAGCACAGGGGTTCTCAAACTGGGGGTCAGGACCCCTCAGGGAGGTCACAAGGTTATTACATCGGGGTAGGGGGTTGCAAGCTGTCAGCCTCCACTCCAAACCCCGCTTTGCCTCCAGCGTTTATAATGGTGTTAAATATATTTTAAAAAGTGTTTTTAATTTATTCGGGGGGGGGGGTGTCATACTCAGAGGCTTGCTATGTGAAAGGGATTACCAGTGAAAAAGTGTGAAAACCACTGATCTAGGAAAGGATTTGAGGGTTTGCTGAGGCAAGTGAAACCCCCGACCTCTCTCCCTACTGCTTATCAGAAGCTTGCATGACTTCAAAGAGAGACATTAGTAGTCTCCTGTTCATTTGTACAACCAGCAGCAGCTGCCCACCTGCTTCACTGGCTGCAGGATACTTGTCAGCCAGACAAAGAGCTCAAATTAGAAGAACGGGTGCCTGATCTGCCTGCCTCTTGGACCCTCCTCTGCAGTTTGCCTTTTACCAAGCTGCTAAGGTTCATAGCCAAAGCAAGAAATGTTTAACCCCAGAGGAGTATGGCAGCTGGCTCCAACTTCATTGAAATACTTAAGGGAGGGCCTTAGTACCTCTACCCACCCCCTTTCCATACCTTCAGAGTGCTGAAGGAGATGCCCTTCCTCACTTATTTGGTCCTGCTTAGATCACCACGGTGGAGAATGCTTGTATTGTTAAGAGTCACAGCACCCTCTCTTCCTCTCAAGCAGTCTTTGCAAAAAGCAGGTCCACTTCCCTTCCTTCCACACCCAAAAAGGTCAAGAGGCAGGGTAGAAGGAAAAGGCAGGGAGGGATCACCTTAGAATAGAGAGGTATGTTGTTAAT